CTGCCTTGTGTTCATCCCCCCAAGAACTGGGATTATAGGTGTGTTCCACCATGCCTAGTCTCAATCTTTGCCTCAGTGGGCCCGAGGGGCAGGGCCAGCACAGCACTCCAGGGATCAAACCCTGACTTCTGCGTCTGCCTAAGCAGACACCTTAATCCACTGAGCTATATGGCTGGCCCCAAATTTGACTTTAAAATGCAAATCCGCACTAACTTTCTCTGACATTGGGCCAGTTATTTAACATGTTTGAACTTTACTTTTCACTCATCTATGCAACAGCAATGATCATAACAATGTCTACCTTGGAAAAGTGTTTTGAAATCAAATAAGAGATCTAAGAAAAGATTCAAAGTACAATAATTTTAATTTCCCCAACATTCCATGGCCAGTCATGTCCCAGAAATGCTAAATGGAAAATTGTGGAAACAATTCATAAATTATAAATTGTATTAAAACTTTAGTAATGTGAAGAAATTTCACACCATGTTCCTCTTTCTTATTTGTGACATGAATTGTAACTTTGTCCAGCATAACAGCATGGTCTACACATGCAATGTTTAAGATCAAGTAAGAAATAATAGCCTATATTTATGGTGCTATAATTATAACATATTGTTACAGGGCTGGGGAGAGAGCTCAGTGGAATAAATGCTTGCCTGGAGAGTGCAAGGTCCTGAGTTTGATACCTGGTACCACCAAAAAAGAAAAGAAAAACAGCATATAATTACAACTATTTTGTCATTGCTAAACACTTTGAATTATAAATTGAACTTTATGATGAGTATGTATACAGAGGATAAACAGAATTTACACATGATTTAATGATATTCTGATATCATGATAGTCTCAGTTACATCTATCCACTGGAAGATCTGATACTGTCAGGCTCATGGCTAAGGAGGAACTATGATAAAATGCGATACCATAAATGTCATGAAACATATAAAATTTGATATGATTATTTACTATCTAAAATTGTGTTCCTGTTTAATAATGTTCTAATGGCATTTTTTACCTCTGCATTTCTCACTGTGTAGATGATAGGGTTTAACATAGGAGTGACCAGAGTATAGAATATTGTTACAGCTTTATCCATGGAAAAGGTGGTCACCGGTCGCAGATAGATGAAAATACAGGGTACAAAGAACAAGACGACCACTGTGATGTGGGAGCTACAGGTGGAGAGGGCCTTTTTCTTCCCTGCAGTGCTTTGAGACCTCAAAGAACAGAGGATGACCACGTAGGAGAGCAACAACATGACAAAGATTACCATAGCCATTACCCCACCGTTGACAGCAACCAAGAGACCAAGAAGGAAAGTGTCTGTGCAGGCAAGCTGTATCAGGGGGAAGATGTCACACATGAAATGATCTATCCTGTTGGGGCCACAGAATGGGAGCCAGAACGTGACTAGGATCTGTCCA